TTTGACTAAAATGCAGCTTTAATGCATTATTACCATCCACTTAAAGTGGGGCTGTGATGGTGCACCTGAAAGACACATTTATTGTCAGGATTGGTAGAAATGCGTAAAAAGCCTCAAACTAAAAGAGACATGTACAATATTCTCTTTAGTTTCCTCTGTGTTTTTTCTATTACAGAAATAAAAAACCTGTTTTCGTTTTTGTTGTTTTGCAGGTTTATTCAAAGATCCTTAACCCAACTGAAGAGTGGGCGTGAGGTGTTATGGTTCTCCCCTTTTGGACTTCTTTCTTCTTTTTTTTATTTTCTTTTTGAGTTTTCAGTTATTTATACCATTCTGTTTTTTTGGTCATTGGTTTATTTTCCATTCTTAGTTATATTGAAGCAATGTTGCATTTTTTAGTTACTTTCTGTTGCCCCCTTGTGCCAGCCTCCTTTCCTCTAGCTCCCTTCTAGTTACTTCTATCAACACCTGCTCCCTATTAGCTCATTAGCCCATTCTTTGTTCTGTTTCCCATAAATACGCCTCCTTTGCAGTTCCTCATTGATGGTTTCTCATCATTACTTGTGTATCCTGTGTGTTTTTCCCTGACATATCCTTGTTTTTAGTGTTTTGGTTCTTGGATTTTGTTTCTGTTGCCTTTTTGATTTCATTAAACCTGCAAGAACTCCTCCCTGCCTCCCTTATCTTTGCATTTGGGTCCCCGACCATCCATCACGCCACCTTCGACATGTGGTGCTTTATCCAAAACATTATTTTTTATTTATGTCAGACCCGAACACTGACTGCTAAAACACTAAATCTTACTCTATTTACATTTGTAATGGTCAGAAAGATTTCCTTAATTGTCTCCCAGACAAGATTGTTAAAGAAATTTCGAGTAGTCTATGGGCCAATTTTAACAAGTAAGGTTGTGTTTCAGTGTTTTTGGTTGTTTTTCTTTTTGTTTTTATAACATTTGTAGATATAAAAAAAAGAAGTTTAAAAAAGAAATATTAAACCTCAAAAACATAGTGGTTCGGAACACTAATTAGACATTTCTTAACACTTTGAACACTTCAACACGAGGGACGTTGTACTAGAATTCCTCTCTATTTAAATATGGTTAAATTAGGTAATTAACCTAATTAGTGCATTTGAAAGGCTTTATAACACATTTCTACCAAGAGAATCAACAAATGGGGAAGGTGCAGCTAATGGAGCCAATGTTAAGATACATGTATATGAAAAGAAAAAGAGCTTTTATCGTTTTAAATCTAAACTCTTCTGCATCTAATAATGGTTGTAGCAATAAACTCATGGTCCACCAATGGTTGCACCAACTTATAAGATGGGTAAAAAATAAGCAGAACAATCTAGCTTCTATTTTAACAGGTAAGACTGTTGCACCGTTAGGACAAAAAGCATACAGCATCAAAGCTTGACAGGTCTGTTAAAAGGGAAAAGTATGTTAAGTAAACAAATGCCAAATTTGCATTAACAAGTTATAAATCCCCAGAGAAGACTCAAACAGCTCATGGTGGTTGGTCCACAGCCAATCAAAGTGTAAAAAAATAGATTTTCTATTAACTAATAGGGAATTCTAAACCTTAGAGGTACATTTCTGTTAATCCAGATAATTTCTCACTCAGAGTCAGGCACAACTTAATGTAAACATAAGAGACTTAAAAAAAAAAAGAACCTGAAGGATCAATCTTTAAAATGCTGATTGAAAGTATTGGATATACATCTCAAAGAAAAGAAGCAGGAGCAGGAAGAAAGGCTGTGGACTTTTTAAATTAGGTGCAGTTTTCCTTGTTACACAGCACAGAAGATAAGGGGCTCGTGAAACTGGTTCAAACTGTGTGGAAAAGAGGAAAAAAAAAAAAAGTCCCAGAGTGTGATCAAAGACTGACAGCTCTCAGAGAAAAAGCTGAAGCTTCCAAAGGAACACAACACCCTCTCTCTCTCTCCTTTACACACCTACGCTCAACGTCTCTGCCGGCACACGGTGACAATAATGGATCCTGGCGGAGGCGCTTCAGGAGGCTGCGAATGTTAACTGCTTTTTGAGTTATGTCATGAATGTCTGATTTATCAGACCAATGCTGTGTCCCTGTGCCGCTGACATGTATGAGCCGAGGAAAGAGTGGAGTGGTGATGGAAAATGAAGCAAAGCTATGGCTTTAACATAAAGCTGCAGTGACCAGTGATACAAAGGTCCTTTGCTATAAAAATATCTAATTTGTATGTAGTGCAAAATAAAACAGGGTTAAATAAAGTTGTGGGGTCATATTTAAGAGTTCACAGTCTGTTAAAACCTGGAGGTGATTTATTTTCCAGGTGACAAAAGAAGTTATATTATTAGTCCGTATATCTACGTTATCGATTTGGTCTGTTTACCCCAATTACTCATAAATCCAGCTAATTTCTGCTATAATTCACAGTAGACAATGTTTTAATATCTTAAAAATCAGATTAAAACAACTCTTCTCATTTCAATTTGGAAAATGTGCATATTTTACTGACAATAAAGGGTTGAGATCGTATGTTAAACCTACAAAGAACGAACCTAGCTGTAAGAATCTACTTTGGTTAAGGATATTCTATTATTACCAATATCTTGATTTGACTGGGGGTATTTACTCGAGTTTGGTGGAAAAAACATCAAAACAGAAATAGCATCTGTTTTTAAATACACTGCTCAAAACAAGAAAGGGAACACTCAAACAATATATCCTAAATCAGAATGAAAATATTCTAATTGAAAACTTTGTTCTGTACAAAGTTGAATGTGCTAAGAACAAAATCACCCAGAAATAATCAATGGAAATCAAATGCATTTACCAAATGGAAGCTGGAATTGGAGTCACACAAAATTAAAGTAACGAAAGACTCTACAAGCTGAGCAAGCTTTGATATAATAACCTTAAAACAGGTCAACATGAGGCTTAGTATTGTGTCTCCACATGTCTGTGTGACCTCCCAAGAACGCCTGACCATGCTCCTGACGATTCGGTCGATGGTCTCCTCCCAGACCAAGACTAAAGCATCTGCCGAGTCCTGGACAGTCTGTGGTGCAATGTGACATTGATGGATTGATCAAGACATGATGTCCCAGATGTGTTCAATCAGATGCAGGTCTAGGGAACGGATGGGCCAGTACATAGCTTCAATGCCTTCATCTTGCAGGAACTGCTGACATATTCCAGCCACATGAGGTCTAGCATTGTCCTGCATTAGGAGGAACCCATGGCCAAGCGCACCAGCATAGGGTCTCAGGATCTCATCTTGGTACCTAATGGCAGTACATGAAGGGCTGTGCAGCACTCCTAAGAAATGCCACCCCACACCATAACTGACCCACTGCAAGACCATTCATGTTGAAGGATGTTGCAGGCAGCAGATCGCGCTCCACAGTGTTTCCAGTCTCTGTCACATCTACCCCATATGTGCTCATTGTTAACCTGCTTTCTTCTGTGAAGAGCACAGGCTGCCAGTGAAAAATCCGCAATCCTTGTGTTCTCCGGCAAATGCCAAGCATCCTTCACAGTGTTAGGCTGTGAGCCAAACCCTCACCTCATCAGGCCCTCATACCATCCTCATGGAGTCAGTTTCTAACCTTTGATGCAGAGACATGCACATTTGTGGCCTGCTGGGGGTCATTTTGCAGGTCTCTGACAGTGCTCCTCCTATTCCTCCTTGCCCAAAGGCAAAGGTTGCCGTCCTGCTGCTGGGTCGTTGCCCTCCTATGGCGTCCTCCACTACTGCTGATATACTGGCCTGTCTCCGGTCTGCAGTCTCTAGAAACTCCGCTAACAGACACAGCAAACCTTCTTGTCACATTTCGCATTAATGCGCCATCCTGGATGAGCTGCACTACCTGAGGCACTTGTGTGGTTTGTAGAGTCCATTTCATAGTACCATGAGCATCACCATTATTCAAAAGCTACCAAAACATCAGCCAGAAAACATAGGTACTGAGAAGTGTTATATGGTCCCCAAATGCAGAACAATTCCTTTATCAAGTGTGTCTTGCTAATTGCCAATAATTTATACCCTTTTCCTATTCCATTTGCACAGCAGAATGTGAAATTGATTGTCAATCAGTGTTGCTTCCTAAGTGGACAGTTTGAGTTCACAGAAGTTTGATTTAATTTTAGTTATATTGTGTTGTTTATGTGTTCCCTTAATGTTTTTGAGCAGTGTATAACATGGTGTATTGGAGCATCTAAAAAGTAAGAGAATAGTTAAAGAAGGAGGTGTTTGTGCTCCCATATTTCATTTATTGTACAGTTTTAGATGAGAAGGCTTAGTTCAGACATTGTTTTATTCTTTTATCAGCACAGCATCACTTGAATTATCTCGTCTGGTAGAACAGAAGGTTAATTGTGAAGTTTCTTCAGAAATTTGTATAATTTGGAACTCAAAGAAGACAATAAAAATACTTTTATTTTGTAGAAATCCGACATTTAAATCTTGATAAGCAGATGTTTTGAGATCTGAGGTAGTCCTATAGTAGGGTTAGAGAGGAGGAGTTAATAAGACATAGCCCTTGGTGAACAGGCCATCCAAGTCAAACCCTAACAAGCGAGAATAAGTAGCTCTTTCCATCCCGGTGGCTTGTTAACATCTTGAATGTGGTGTGAGCATCTCCTCACCTGCAACCTCCTGCCACCGATTACCTTCCACTCTAACTCTGCGATGTGTTGCAGTGAGTGCGGGAGGACGAGGGGATAAAAGGAAGAGTGATTTAAAGGGCGCTGGATTTAGGGATCCCGATCTCTACCGTCAAATCCTGAAGGGGAGAAAAAAATGAATCGCTTCTCAACATGCTGTGAAAACTGCAGACATCCTGCTCCTTCATGCTGTGCTGCCATTTGTTAATCATCTAAAGAAATGCCCTACTGCCATCTTTCTTTATATTTGTAAACTGAATAAGGGTTCTATTTTTGCCAGAGGGAGTAAAAAGAAACAATATATTGCTATGGTAGTGTAAAATAATTCAGATATAACCCCAGGCGGTGCTCAGAAACTGTTTATGATCCTGCATCAAGCAGAGGGGTTCTTCATCCACCAAACAAAAAAAAAAAAAAAACTGCAATCATTATTAATGATCATTTTTCTGCATCCGATTGTTAGAGTGCACATTTCAGCACACATGGAGATAAATAATAAAAAAAGGCTCCAGATCATCATGTCAGAATGCTACACATGTCCTCAGTCACTGTTTGATTCGAATCTCTTAGTAGCTGAAAGCCCCATCAGAAATAGGGCAAAAAAAAAAAAAGGAGGGTAGTTAGGAAAGAGGCCTGTGAGTCCAGCAGGCGTTGTTGAGACAGGAGACCAAAGAGGACGAAGAGCCACTCATCATCTCTTGTAGTGGTTGGGAGCATCGGCGAAGGCGAACTTTAACCTGTAAGCTTCGGCCAGTAGCACGCTCACTTCCTCATTTCCCCAGTGCATTGTGGGAAGGTTCTGTAACAGGATCATAAGGCCCTGTTGGGGGGACAGAGAACAGATTCTTAGAAGACAGGCGCAATGAAGCTGGGCAGCACATCAGCAGGAAAAATAGCTAAAAAGAGGAAACTATGTACTGTAGAGGACATCATTGAAACAAGGAGCTACAAGCAAAAGCAAGGCTACATCTGATCAGTACCATTAAATTGTAGGGGGAAAAAAAGCATAATAATGAGGAGAAATAATGGCATTTTCTCTAGCAGGCAGTTGTGCCACCAGGGGGTGGCCAGGGCATTGCCCAGGGTGGCCACCCCACTTGCCAGTGTAAATTGTAGTAGCATCAGTTTCTCCATCTTTCTTTATAACCTGTTTTATGCTTGAAACTGGTGCTAGTATTAACTTAGCATTAAATCTGGATTCTCCGTGATTCTGGTACAAATTTACTGGTCCTGTATTAGAACCAACTCTGGACTGACAAAGAAAAGACCTTCGAGCTCTGGCTTAGTTAAGATTAGCCTAATTTAAGATCAAATCCAGTAAATAACTGAGATATTTGTGTTTATGTTTATCATACTAATCATTGAGTGCAATCCTATGCCCTGCTGACATCCCCAAAAACTTCTGAACAATTGATCAAACATCATCTGCTTTGATTCTTTGTCATTAAGTAAGCAAATCTGATGCTGAATTCTTAAAAAACATATGAAAATACTTGCTATTTAATTTGCACAAACATCAAGGCAGATATTGCTCTTTCTTTTCTCTTGAGCCAGCAAAGATGCACAGATGAGCCATTCCTTCAACAAAGAGCAAAAAAGGAGAGTCTGTGCCGCTGCATCCCTTTTCCTGACCCGGTTCATGGTAGAGTTGTTGAATGGAGCTGATTACAGGCCCCATTTGTGAGCAGTTTGAGGAAAAGTCAGAAGGTGAAATGTTTTATTCATTCTCATGCCGTTTACTGCGGTGGAGTTCTGATATCAAGACAGGATTTGATCCAATTAATTTACTTTTTCTTTATCCATTGATATTCTTTTCTCATGTTCTTTCTTTCTTTTTTTTTAAAAACAAAATTTTTTTTTTTTGTTTTTCACTGAAATATGGAAAAAAATTGACCTATATTCCTGTATATTTGCAAATTTTCAAATTTTATAATAAAAGAATAGCAACTGGAGGCTATGTACACATAGAGAAGTCAGATTTTTGCCATTTCAGGTGGATTCCACAATAAAAGGTACTGTAAACCACTTTCCAATTAGCCTAAAAATGTAGGCAAACTAATTTGTTTTAAAACTGCAGAAAATGAAACAAAGCAAAATCCAAATCAGACTTCCTTCTTTAATGAAAATTATTTTAAATATACCAGGGGTATAAAAAAAACGTATAAAAAATGTTTAACTCAGCCTGTGGCAGTTTTATTTACAAAATACTTTACTAAAAAAAAAAAAAAAAAAAATATGTCTTTAAGAAGGTCCTCTTACATACATGTTTTAATGCAAACTTTGCTTCCCCAACATAAAATATAACCTTCATTTTGTAAAGGAAAAATAAATAAAAAAAAAAAAAAAAAAAAGAATTTATCACTTTTTCTGCTTTTTCTTTTTAGATTAACAGATGGTTTTAGCTGCATGAGCAGTCTGCTTGATTAAGATTATTGACTGGTGCTGTTTATTATTTTAACACCACGGTTGTCAATAGTGTTTGTGCTTAGAAATACTACCAGACAGTGGAGGTGTTCTTAGAACAGAGCAAAACAAGAAACGCATCGAGTAACAGGTGGGGGAAGGGCAGCACTGCATTATTCTTTGCTCCACTCAGACTAAAAACTGATCAACCAGTACTTTTTTCTGACAGCTTATAAAAAAAAAAACACTTTAAACCCTTGGAATGGTTTCACAGAAACTCTTAACCATTTTTGGAACGGGAACCTGTACAAAAAACCTGGTAACCTCGATATCGACGCCATGTGGCTGCCTACTGGAAGCTTTGATATCACTACTGTTTTAAAGGGAAAACTGGATCGTATACAACGGTGAGATAAATGTTAGTCACAGAAAACTACAGCTGAGCTAAAAATACCTCAAAAAAAGTGTGAATAAAACGGAAGGTGAAATTCAGTGAAGTATTTCCTGAGATTTAAACTCTGTATATTACTTGGCAGGTTAGGAGACAACAATCCACATCGTCTTCAACACACAAACACACACACACACACACACACACACACACACACACACACACACACACACACACAAGTGAGAGTTCAATCTAGCTAGCTAATGCCTCTCTCTCAAAGGGGAATGAGGCTGGTTAGCAGTAAGACAGAGTGAAAATGTGTGTGTGTGTGCAGGCATGCTGCGGATTGGTGTCCCAGAAGCTTTCATCATCAAGCCTGAAATCATTGCCGTGACAACAGGGTTTACAACCAATCACGGTGTTGATAATCACACGAAAAGACAAATCCCGGTGGGGCTTCGGTGTCTGCACTCATCTGACTCCACACAGTTTGCGGCTTTCTGAAAGGATGAGATCCCGTTCCAAACTGTTTTTTTTTTCCCTGCTGCACAGGTTGAAATATTCAAACTCTTTTCTGAGCACGTCAAAGGGTTCCTCACCCACCGCTGAGAACGTCAAACAAATCTTTAAGCAGATAAATTTAGCCTCTTTGCATTAGTCTACCTCTTTTACGTTTTAAACTAAAAGGTGTTGAGCTCCCATTAATTCTTTCCCTCCATGCTCGCTTTTAATGAGCCGGTGAGACGACCCGGTGACACTAAGAGAGAATTTGTATTCTGCTCGAGGGTGAAAAAAGTACACGTCGTCTTCAACTAATTAAACTCAAAACTGCAATCGAAGTCAGATTTCACACGTCAGACGTTGTTTCACTCCTTCTCTTCTGAATACATTTAAAAGTAAACCCAACAAGAAAAGCTTTTCAACAAAAACTTTGGTCTATTTTCCTAAACTAAGCAAAGAGAGTAGCTGGTAAGTAGATTATTGACTGATTTGAAGATGCCGAAGGCTTTTAAGAGGTGTTAACAGCCTGTTGAAGTGGAGTTAAAATAATCTAGCTGCAAGTAAAAATAAAACAAAGATTCCATCCTGTCATGGTTTTAAATATAAAATTGGAAATCAATTTCCCCAATAAGAGACCCACTACCTTATTGAATTTATGTCATAAATATGTACCCATTTAACTATAACAATATTAGCTTTATTTATAAAGCACCTTTAATTAGCTAGATGTGTGGCAAATAGTTGACCAAGATTAGTTGCCATGGCTAAGAGCCAAACAAATTAAGAAATGTTTGCAAAGAAGAAGGAATGTTAGCAAAGTAGAACTTTGTAGAACAAAACAAAACCCAGAATGCATCTTTCTGGGAGAAATTTTGGTTCCAAAAGAGACATTGTTTTCCTTCATAGTCCAGCAAATTACCTTTATTATCGCATATTCCTATATATTTCCCACAGTAAGAGTGGAATGAAGAATAGTAAATATGACCACTAGCTGGTTGCTGCCATGTTAACTTTACTCTAAACAGCTGGAGAAACCATGGTAACTTTGGCTCTTTATTTTCCTAGCACTGAAAAACTAAGAATATTAGGATGGGAGATTTAATGAGTTTATAAACTTGGTATTAGTAACCAACCTGTGCCTGTACAGCAACCAACAACAATTTTCCTAATGTTTTATTGAAACTAATAAAACATTAAGAAAATAAAACTGATAATAAAAGGGTTCACACTTGGTACCTTTTTTCCAACTATAAAGAATAGTATAATATAAAGAAAATTTAAACCCAAAATAGTAGCCTTAGTCATTTGTTTGGGATTTTAACCAGACTTTCTTTAGGGACCATAGTTCTAGTACAGCATGCACTGAAAATGTAAAAGAAATGATAATGTAATGTTTCCGTAAAGTTATATAAAGGTTTAAAATTGGGCTTTAGGTGAAAACTTTAAATACTGAAGTGTAAAATGTTGTATAAATGTGTGATGTGACAACAGTAAAGAACTCCTCTGAATTCTAGAACGTTAAACTGCATTTAATTGTACATTTTTTCATTTATATCATTCACAAGATAAAAAATATATATATATATATATATATATATATATATATATATATATATATTAAACAATCTTTATAATCTCAATTCATTTTTCTTTCCATAATCATCAGGATCCCTGCCTAATAGTAAGTTCTTATAATAGAAGATGCTTTGATTTTAAAAGATTAAACAGGTGAGGTCCCTCTTGGTTTATAAAGCCAAGGCCCACTAAAGACTTTTTGCTCTAGAGGGGAAAGAGGACTGAAATCCTGCCTGATCAGAATTCTGCCTCCCTTCCTCTCATCTGTATTCAACGGAGAACTGCCATCAGCTCTTTTGCTTTCATCCCTCGCCCTCTCTTGTACATTTGAAACCCACCACATTTGCTCCCAGAGAACTGTGGGCAGCAGTGGCTGCTTTGGGTGTTTTGGGATTTGAGTTATATTGTGTTTGTTGGTGCAGAAACACTAAAATCTCTGTATAGAAATTAAGCACCATTATCAAATACCTTGCCTAATATTAGCAAATGCTGTTTAAGCTAACCATGGTTATAAATAAGTAGTTCAATGTAAGGTTAATTAGTTAATTACATAAAAAGGAGAAAAAAAATCAATTCTCAGTGCTATTATATTTTCAAGGCAAATCATTAAACATATGTGCAGCTTGAACAAGTTTATGGTAAATCATCTCTACGGTCATGTACGCCTGAAGCGAGACATCATGTATCATTACTACTATACTTCCCAGCCCCAGGCTCTTCAAGTGAAGGGAAGCTCCCATGTGGAGAGGCTTGACACTCACAGTACAATCAGCGCACCAGATCAGTGAGATGCTGTTAATATGTTGTCGCTTTAATGAAATCATTTACACAAGAGCAGGACAATGATGAACACTGGACTAATAAATTGCAATGCAATCTTAAACAAAGAGCCAACAATAAAAGCTTGGTTTTAGCCTCAATGGGCCAACGAGGTCCATCATTGTGTCAAG